CTCACGCACAGCCACACCTATAACAATTGGCGATCAAGGATTCGAGCCCGAATTGAAGAATGGCCGACGACCCCGAGCTCAAGGACGTGCTCAAGCAGCTCGCCGCCGCGAACCAGCAGATGACCGCTGTCATGGTCGCCGGGCAAGAGCGAGAAGCCAAGCTCATGGCTGAGCTCGAGCGGATCCGCGCCGAGGTCCAAACGCACACGGACTCGGTTAGCGAAGATTCAAGCCAAATCCAAAGGCCTCTGAATGCAGTCGAGTTGGGCGCTCTAGCCACTCGCGTAAGTCGATTCGAGTATGACCCATCCCAGGGGATTACGTTCGAAAAATGGCATGAGCGGTTCACAAACCTCATCGCCACCGAATCGCGCATCTCGGAGGAGAACAAAAAGCATCTTGTTCTCGGGATGTTGGATGCCAAATCCTATGGCTTGCTAGCGGATCATGCTCGACCCAAAGAGCTGGCCTCCATCGCATACGACGACATCGTCAAGCATTTGACTGAGATGTTTGGAGAAAAGCTGTCGCTTTTCAGTCGACGTTTCCTCGCCTTTCGCGTAGCGAAAGAGCACGATGAGGATATGCGATCCTACGCCGCTCGCGTCAACAAACTATCCGAGCAAGGTCGCGTCAAGGAAATGAAGGAAGATGAAGAAAAGTGTTTACTTTTCGTTGCTGGACTGTCAGACCAGGCACATCGCGACATCCGCAAGAAATTGATCCGTATTCTTGAGTCAAAGAATGACGTGAAATTGGATGATCTGCTGCGCGAGTGTGACCTGCAGACGAGCCTGAACATGGATGTTGTGGTCGAACAGCATGCCAATGTGAACCGTATCCAGCAGTCGGGATACCGAAAGAATTGGAACAAGGGCCCAAAGCCTACCTCTAGCAATGGTGGCCCAAAGCCTTGTGATACCAATGATCGGCCCCGTGGAGACAAGCGAAATGATGTGTGTCATCATTGTGGAAAGCGAGGACACTGGGCAAAAGAGTGTCGCTCAGATTCTGGAAACCGTGGAGGTAATTTTTCCAAGCAAGGAAAACAAAACCGAAACAAGGACTGGAAACCGAAGGTGAACCAGGTTGTGCAAATCAATGCTATTGATTCAACGCGCAAGGACGTTGAGATCTCAATCGGAAGCACTCATTTTACGCTGCAATTAGATACTGGCGCCGCCGTAACTATTATTGACGAGGCTGTGTGGCATCAGTTGAGCTGCCCACCACTTACGCCGTCGGATATTCAACTACGAGCTGCCAACGGTAGTCGAATTGACGTGAAAGGATTGTTTGAAACCCGCTTTCAAGTGAAAGGCATTGAGGGACATGGCCGTTGTTTTGTCACCAAAGACATTCGGTTGATGGGGCTTGATTGGATCAATCAGCTGCCACAATTCGCATCCTGTTTCGATGAATTGTGTGTCAATAAGGTTCAAGCGAAGCAATCAAAGCTGGAAAAGGAACTTGTTGAAAAATACCCAAGTGTATTTACGGATGGTCTAGGCTTATGCACTGTTGCTAAGGCTGAGTTACAGCTCAAAGCCGATGCACAACCAATTTTTCTGCCATTCCGACGCGTCGCATTTTCTATGGAATCAGCCATTGAAAAGGAAATTGAACGTCTTGTTGGTTTGACTGTGTTGAAACCAGTCACGTACAGCGAATGGGCGGCTCCGGTCGTTCCCGTCAAGAAGAAGGACGGTTCATTGCGACTTTGCGGTGATTTTTCTACCGGCTTGAATGATGCGTTGCAAGATTACCATCATCCTCTTCCCACAGCGGAAGAAATTTTCACCAAGCTCAACGGTGGACAAGTGTTTTCCCAGATTGACTTGAAAGATGCTTATTTACAAGTCGAGGTTGAGGCTTCTAGCCAAGAATACCTGACAATCAACACACACAAGGGACTTTATCAGTATCAACGACTGATATTTGGTGTGAAAACAGCCCCCGGTATTTTCCAGAAAATTGTGGATAATTTGATCGCAGGCTTGGACGGTACCGCTGCCTACCTGGATGATCTGTTGATCACCGGCCGGAACCGGGAGGAGCATGACGACAGGGTACGTCAGTTGTTTGAGCGAATCGAAAAGTTCGGATTGCGCGTCAAAATGGAAAAGTGCACGTTCGGCCAGGCTTCGGTAAAATATCTTGGCTTCATTCTCGATGCCCAAGGCCGAAGACCCGATGGCGAACGCACGGCTGCGATAGCAAATATGCCACGACCTACCTGCCTCAAAGAAGTTGAAAGCTTTTTGGGCATGGTTTCGTTCTACCAGTCTTTTATTCCTCGTATGCGACAGTTGCGCGCCCCGCTTGACGAGTTGAAGAGAAAAGACGCAAAGTTCCTCTGGCGTGAGGACTGCGAACGAGCGTTCCAGTCGCTCAAGGAAATTGTTATTTCCGATTTGTTACTCTGTCACTATGACGCCAAGTTGCCGATCGTCGTCGCCGCTGATGCCAGTGAGCAAGGCCTTGGGGCAGTCATTACCCACCGATTCGCTGATGGAACTGAAAAAGCAATCGCACATGCTAGCAGAGCATTGACTGTGGCAGAAAAGAACTATAGCCAGATTGAAAAAGAAGGCTTAGCCCTCGTATTCGCAATTCGGCGCTTCCACAGATACATCTACGGAAGGCGTTTTGTATTACTGACGGATCATAAGCCCCTTTTACCGATATACGGGTCGAAAAAAGGAATCCCACAACACACCGCAAACCGTTTGCAAAGGTGGTGTTTGCAATTGAACAACTACGATTTTTCTATTGAATATCGTAACACGACCAAGTTTGGTCAAGCGGATGCCCTTTCCCGTCTGATTCCGCCAAAATCGGATCCTGAAGAAGATGTCGTGATTTCGCAGATAGAAATCGACATTTCAGCCGTTTTTGAGGATAAATTGAGCCAAATCCCAGTTTCACACAAGGAAATTGCTGAGCAAACTGAACAGGATTATTCACTCAGCGACGTGATTGACTCTCTGAAAAGTGGTTCTTTTCCAGACTGTTTGCCAGGCTCGTCGTTGTACGCCTACAAAAGTCTTGTAAATAACTTGTCAATTCACCAAGGCTGTTTGTTTCTGAAAGAGCGAGTTGTTGTGCCGAAAAGGCTGCAATCGCGAATCCTGAAAATGCTTCACGAAGGCCACCCGGGCCAAACGAGAATGAAATTGCTCGCAAAGCAATACGTGTACTGGATTGGCATGGATTCAGACATCGATCGCATAGTGAAAGAATGCGAAGGCTGTCAGAAAGCCCAAAAGATGCCTGTAAAAAGTGAATTGACTCCCTGGCCTACCCCAAATCGTCCAATGGAGCGCGTGCATATTGATTATGCCGGTCCGATTGATCACAAAATGTATTTGATCGTTGTCGACGCTTACTCAAGATGGCCTGAAATCTTTGAGTGTAAGGTGGCAACAAGCAGAGTGACGATTGCCCAGTTGAGAGATGTTTTCTCGAGGTTCGGAGATCCGGAAACGCTCGTTTCGGATAACGGAACTCAATTCACTTCCAAGGAGTTTGAAGATTTCTGTAAGGAACGTGGAATTACCCATATTCGCACGCCGCCGTTCCATCCCCAGTCGAACGGATTGGCCGAACGTTTCGTCGATACCTTCAAGCGCGCTTTGAGCAAAGCCGCTGGTTCGACTAACGCTGAAACTTTGCAAATATTTCTGCGAACTTATCGGTCCACCCCTTGCCCATCTTCACCAGAACAGCTATCTCCGGCTGAAAGGTTTATCGGGAGAAAGCTCGTTACTCCCATTGCTCGCTTGCGTCTGCCTCAGAGCAACAGCAATTCTCGTGCGAATCTCATCTTTCCGAAGGGGGAGAAGATGAAGATGGTTGAACAGTACAACCGGAAGCACGGCGCAAAGAAGCGTTCCTACGAAATCGACCAGACCGTCTGGGTTCGAGATTATAAAATACCTAGCAAACCTATCTGGGTAGAAGGACGTATTTCTAAATTATGTGGAAAGTCCATGTACGAGGTTGAAATTACCTCTGGAGTCGTTTGGCGTCGACATGCCAACCAGCTACGTGCTCGATTCGTTCGAGACGTACTCGATGATATCCTGGAAGAGTTCGATCTTGCCAGCGATGATAAAGTCAATGTGCAGGACACCGCTCCACCTCTTGACAAGCCTCTCGAGAAGCCAGCTGCATCATCCGCCACAACTCCTACATTGATTCCCCTTGCACCTGTTCCGAATGTTCCCCATCCCACTGCTCACCGGTCGACAACACCAACCAAGTCGCCACCGAAGTCGCATCCACGATCACCGGCAAGATCACCAGCCGTGCCGCGACGACCTCAAGTTGAACTGCCCGAAATCGTTGCTCAACAACCGCAAATTGACCAACTCGATGACGTTGTTCAACAACCACAAGGACGCGACGACGAACCTGAAGTTCGTCAACAAGATCAAGCACAACCTGTGAAGAAGACGAAGAAGACTGATGCCCTTGGACCGATCCTTCACCACAAGCGCATCCGGAAGCCGCCGTCGCGATATCAAGATTGAAGTGCCGTCAACGTCGTCTCCATCAAGCTCAACTTCATCACGAGTCAAGCTCTTCATTCAAGGAGGAAGATGTTGCGGAAGCAAGAGAAGAAAGTCTTTTGATTCAATTACGCGATGCCTGTACGGCGCACCCCTTTGCACCGCGCCCTGTGTGCGCCCTCCCCGTCCCCCGGCACAAACCCCTTTTTTGTGCGTGTCTTTTTCATTCTTTCCACTCCGCCCGTCTTGTCTGGCTGCTTGTATTATTTTAGGCTATTGCCGTTATCGTAAATAAACTTTGTTCTCTCTTCTTTCGTCCATATCAATTCAGGTGTCAAACGACTCTCTCGCAAGGTATCCCCTTGGATTGAGCCAGCACTCAAGAACTCACGCACAGCCACATCTACAACATAAACAATGCGTCTATAGTTTTAAAACTTTATTGCATCATCATATAAGTTAAATTAAAAGCAAAGTCGTACTTTAGAGCCTGAACTTCCTGCGCTTCTTCAGGATCTGCTCAACGTCAGCTTGGGCAGATGGGATGAGGAAATGGCACCCAATCTAGAGATTTGTGATTGCTTAATGGTTTTGTTTAGGTTTGCGTTTTCAAACGCTACGATTTTCCGACTTTAAAAGATCGTTCTATACCTCAAAAGTCATCTCCTGGTCCAAGCATTCCCCAGTGCGCCAAAAGTACCAGTCTCCGTTGCGGTTGATGGACTAAAATTGTTAATATTCTTGAAATAAAGACCAAAAGGTATATTTATGGCATATTTATAAGATTAAGCGTTGGAATCTATATACTTTAAATAAGCTAAGTTTCCGAATAAACTTTAAGACCTACCCTGTACGTGCCCAGATTCGTGCACTTGTGGTTGTTCGACGGGGTCTTCCAAATCGAGTACGCCGCTCCGGTTTCCGGGCAGTACAGCGGGCAAATGACGGCCCTTCCGGTTGTGCCGGTCTCCTGAAAAAATATTTTTAATCGTCGTAATCGTTTCTTCAAAGGTTGCTCCATTTTATTACCATAAAAAACTAATTAAAAGTATGATTTTCACGCCAAATTCCTAAAATAATTTACCTTTTAAAAAAATTTTTTTTTTTTTTTTTTTTAAATGTTTACAATTTTAACTTAGGAAATACGGGTAAAAAATAAAATAATGATTAATCAAAAATTTAGATAATTAACGCACCTCAAAGCACTCCTGATTTGTGGCCGCCCGAAATTCTTGGCTGTCATCGTCGCGCTTTTTCTTCAGGAATAGCGTGCAATCGGTGCCGTTGCCCGACGGTTTTTTCGTGCACTCATAACGACGGTATTCTAGAAAAAGACTTCTACAAGATTAAAACAGCTTTTAAAAGAGAAAAATAGACTTTAAAAAGCTCGAAAAAACCCTCCGAACTCGCTCACCATGATGATGGCCGCCTTGGGCAAAAACAGTAGCGATGAGGGCAGAAATGAGCAAGTAGCTCTGCATGTCCGGAGGCTTGATGGGGATGATGTCCGACATTCTCGAGGAGCACTGTTTCTTTATATATTCTCGCGAGTCTCGAGACGGTTCCGCTAAACACCTCTGCCCACCTCCATCTCGGGATTTTTAGCCAGCCAAACGTGGTAACCGGTTTTTTCCTTGGTTCTCACTTTGTCCGAGATGTCGCTAGCCAGCCCCCGGGGGCAACAAATAGCAACAAAGAACAGAAACGGTTCAGCATCTAATTGTTTCCAATCTAAATGGCAGCGTTTTCAAACCTTTTTTACTATTCCTGGACGTCAAAAATAATACAAAAAGTAATAAAACAAAAGCCTCGATCTTTAAAAAAATCAAAATTTTAACTTATTCTTGCGTAAGCGTAAAACTATAAAAATTCAATGAATAGATACGAGACATCCATTTCTCGACCAACATTATAAACATTTAAGTTTTCGAAATAGTTTTCCTAGCATAAAAGAATCTAAAATTCGGGAAGAGATAAAACAAAATATTACTATTACATCAATAGGTACAGAGTTGTGGAAACAAATTCAGATTATTACAAAACATAAAATTTCGATTACAAGAAACGCAAAAAATCTCGATTTACGTCTGAAATTACCATTTTTTAGCGAATTTTATTAGGTTTGCTAAAAGTCTTCCAAGTTGAATAACAATAAAATTTACTAAAACACTATTCAAAAAATTGCTATTACGTTCCTACGCATATCTGATTAGAAAAAATGTCGGATCAAGAATACCGGAAAACAATTCGCAAGAAAGTTCCAAAAGAATCCTTCCTGCATGCCCAGCTCACAAAATTCATGAAATTCTCGGTCAAAACAGTTTATACAACAAAATTCGCGAAAATTCCAAAATTCATGGGTCAGGTCTAATGAAACGAGATCAATGGTGAGCGACGAGAGAGGGCTTCAAAGGGAGGGCTACGTTACGCTACGCAGCGCGGCCAATATTCTCGGGGGTTTTCATGAACAAGGGGGAAAATGAGAGTGCTACAGATTAAATGTAAGAATAGCGTCAATAAGGGCCAGCGGGGCGGGGGAATTTAATGATTGGCGGCCGGGGGCCGAACGTGGCCGGCGGCTTGGACGCCAGGCTGGCGCCAGTAGGCCAGGTACTGCGCGAGGAGGGCCATGAACGCCTGGAAAAAAACGTAGATTTTGGCAATAGAAATTTCGAGGATGTGCGTTAAAACTTCGAAAAGTGACTGTTTTTAATAAAAATCTGCCTACTGGCATCATTTTCAAAATTATCAATTCGAAAATTCATAGTCATTATTTCTAAAAAACGTTGCTTCGAAAAGTTACTAACTTTATTGAATTTTTTTTGACGTATTTGTTTTGATAAATATTTTATTTTGTTTTCATAGATTTTGATGGCCTGATTTGATCCAAAAAAGCAATTTGAGCCATTTTCTAAAAATCGTCGTCCCGAAATCATCTGCAAAAAAACAAAGCCATCCAAAGGTCCGTCACAAAGGATTTTGAAAAGTTTAAAAAGTGAAAAAGAGTTCATTTAGCTACGTCCCTTAAGATTTTTATATTTTCGCAATTTTTTCGACGTGGATTTTCGAAGTAATGACGTTTACCAAGATCTAAGGATACCTCAATAATTTCCGGCGTCATTCCGGGCGGCGGGACGACCGGCTGAATCGGCGGTGGTTGTGGCACGGGGGCTGGCATAGGCATCACCGGCGGAGGAACGGGGGCGGCTGGCACCGGGTTCTTCATGGCCGTCATGGGCGGTGGCTTCTTCGGATTCTGGCCCGACCGCAGCTGTGGCGTGCGCATCGTCGACATCGGCGGCGGCCTCTTTGGGTTCTGAAAAAAAATGTAACACTTTGGAAAATAATGAATAACTAATAAATAATAAATTTTTAAACTTTTAACAAATCAAAAAAAAACAGAAAATACGTTTTAATAATAATTTTATAACCAAAACAAGCCTTTTAAAAAACTTAGAAAACCAATAAATACCTGATCTTTATTGCTCTTATTGTTGGAAGCCAGCGACGTGCGGTCCTTGGTCCTCGGCCTGCCGCGGGGCTAAAAAGTGTCGAATCTCCGAAACCCTAAAAAACCCACCCTAGGCGCTGACGGGGCAGTGGACGTGCTCGGGGCGTCGGCCGGTGGCAAGAATTGGACAAGCGCCGGGCGACCGTCGATGATCACGGACGTGGCGGACGAGCTGGGCTGGCACTAAAAATATGAATAAATAGTACTTACTAAGTTTATGCTTAATAATCAAAAAACCAACATTTAATTCTTTTAATTTTTTAAACGTTACAATACAACTTTACATTTTAATTTTTACTGACCACCAAGGCGTCCTCGAGGCAGCGCGGGTAGCCGGCGTGGGGGGTTGGTGGTTGTTTGGCGTTCTTGCTAGCCTTGCTGGGACGTCCGCTGCGCCGTGGTGGTGTTTTCTGAATGGAAATCAAGTTTAATAAACCTAGCAGGATCATCGATGTATTTTTATTCATTTTCCTGATACTGTTTTCAGCTTTTAAATAAAAAACGCAATTATTGAGGTTCCTTAACCCCTTGTGCATTATCGGGGGAGGAGGTGGGTTTTTTTCTAAAGTTTTTATTCAATTCGAGATCTATGTATATAGAAAATAAATAATATGAGTTTCGGCAGCCAAATTTCGTCCTATTTCAAACGTAAAATTCTTAAAAAGCTCCAAATTTTGAAATCTTGAAATTTTCGCCGGAAAAGTTTATCCCCTTGATATTGCAAACGAACCCAAAAGCTTTTCAAAAAGCACGAAACTCTCACCATCGTTTTCTCCACCGGAGGCGCAATGTTCAGCGACTTAGAAACGGGAGTAGCCGGCCTCTAACACGCAAATTTTAGGTCCATAAAAATCCAGCAAACCTGCTGTGCCTGAGCGACTGGCTGACTGTGATCGAGGCCCCAACTGCCGTCACCTCGGTTGGCCAGATCAAAGGCAGACCGCGCTGGTTGTGGAATCTAAAAAAAACACAGATAATTTAAAAACATAATCCCGACATTCCACATCCTGTCGAAAGACTGAGTGGCTTGTGGCTGACCCATTCCTTGGTTTCCGGCGAATCGCTAAAAATAAAATTAAGAAAAGGGGAGAAAAGCTGACATGATCTGGCACTGACTGCGAGCCGAACGAGCGGTTGGGCTAAACAACCGGATATGAGGAGAAAAAGAGAGGCTACCTGAGACTGGGGCTGCAGATTCTGGCTCGGCAAGCACCAGCCATAGGGGGCCAAGGGGCGTCCGGGGGTGAAGAACTGGAAAAAGGGATGAGTAAATGCTAGAATTTAGTTTGGCGTGTCTTAACGCTTTAACGCTTATCTAAAACATGCTTTATTCGTTCCCCTATACTTTCTGATGTTAGTAAAAACCAAAAGCGCCAGGAAATTACCCCAAATTGAAAATGAAATTATAATTTCTACAAAAATGTCTTACAGGCCAACGTTTTTTTTAGGCCCACAAAAATTTTTAGGGTTTCGACTTTTTCAAACACCGTTTTAAACCTAAGATAAAAGTTTTTCAAACTTCTAAAAACGATGTTTTTGGCTTTTCAGGAAACAGACATTGTCAGTTTTAAAGTTTGCCCCCACCCCCGATAAAGAAATTAATTGTATCATTTTTCTAGAAAAATAGCAAGAAAAAACCGAGTTCAGGTGCGGCTCGGGCACCGGGTTCAAGCGCACCGGGTAGGCGGGCGGGACAGCCGACTGCTGTTGCTGGTCCTGCAACTGCCTCAACCGAGCGCGCTAAAAAAAGAGTCTAAAGTAAGTTGAAATCCGCTTTCAAGGAGTATAAAAGTTCTAAAAAAATTTCCCACCTTCAGTGCGGACCCAATGTCCACGTAGGGCGCGTAGCGGGCGGGCGGGTGGATGTTACGAACCGGGCGCTGAAAAAAAGACATAAAACTCAAATTTACCGCAGTTTTAAAATACACTGCTTAGATAAAGTGAAATCTATACAAATAGCGTTTACTTTTCACGTTCTGATCTTTCACCTATCTAGACAAGAAGCTATTTGTATGTTTTGAGATTAACCTTTGTTGAAAGTTAAACTTGCTATGTGTTCTAAAAACTTGAAAATGCTCTAAAACTTTCAAAATAAACCAGGAACAGTGTGAAAGATAAAGATTTTAAAAAAAACAGACATAACGCTAGGGAAAAACCATTTTCTGTAAAGTTTTACGGCTGTTCTTTTTCAAAATAAACTTTTAGCGTTAAAAATCTGCAGGAAAACACCGAGAATTGACTACGCAACTACAAAATATATAAAGTAAATCGATAAAACGACAAATTCTATCTTTTTTAGAAATACAAGAGAACCTTACATGCACGCCGATGAACTGCACCGAGCTCGACGAGCTGTCGCTGTGCTGGCTGGTGTTGAGATCGTCCGACTGTTGGTTGTTATTTGTTTCGCTCTAAAAAATGAAATTAGTCGACTTTGAAAAGATATAAAAGTCCGGTAATCAATATAAAACGTACCCTTTCAATCTGCTCCTCACACGATGCGAGTAGGAGCTCGAGGTTGGAAGCTGCAAAAAATAGTGTAAAAAACCTTAGAAAATGTACCAGTCTGGTCATGGGCCATTGTTATTGCGAGTTCCAAGCAGTGCGAAATGTTTCAAGCTTGACGGAGCTTCAAAAGCCGTGCTAAAAAGGATTTATTGTTGAGAAAAAACGCGGAATAAGTAGAACTTGGAAAATGGGAAATTAGCTCAAAATTTGAGTTTGTCTCAAAACCAAATTCCGGCAAAAATCGAAAAGAAATAAGGAATTTAGATAATTTGCAAAAAAAATTTCCTAGCTAAACTAAAATTAAAATAAAGATCCGTTAAGAGTTGTCATTCGACCTGAGTCGAGATGGCCGAAACTTTTGTAGGCTCCCGCAGCGCAAACTTTGTAAAATCGATAACTTTTTTTCTAGCGTAGAATTCCGTTATTTCGTTTTCATTTTTGATCCTGTGAGACTATTTCCCACATTTTGAGTGATTAAACTATGGGTTTTCAAGC